CCCGTGTGAACAGGCATCATTCACTTGGAAGAAATTGACATATTTCAAATTGAATATCATACCCCTAGCAGTGTTGTTGATGTCACTGAGTTGAGTATCCTTGAATCTAAACCAGCATCAAGCATATCGAGGGAAGACTGTTAATCATACTGCCAGTGAGCTTGGATGGTGGATATCAGCCTATCCTTTAATAAAGGCGGCCGTCGTATTAATGCTTCTGGATTATCTGCACACTGTAGGCCATGGTGACAGTTGCCGCCATCAATACGATAGCATGTGAGACGGGGCTCCCAGTTAGGATCAGAACACATACCCTCACCCTCTACAATGGAGACATGACCACCTAACAGATTAAACTTGAAAAAGGAGGTCACAACAGCAGTACCCTACTTCCGTCCGCCTTGGAGATTTTCTTACCATCACCGACAGTCATACCTCTCAGGGCCTTACATGAACCATCAGATCTAACAAATCGCATGATGAACAGCAGCTTGAGATTCTTCATCAACTCCCAGACTTTATTCATAATACAGTCAGCGTTATTTGGAGAGTAGTGACCAACTCTTGAGGGTAACAGTTTGCCCAAGTTATGATCGCCTTCAAGTTTATGGGTGATTTGGAAACTAGCATGACGAGCATCATTATACCCTTATTGGTACAGACAGATGAAAGGCTTTAACTCGCCGCCGCCGCCGCCCGTAGTTGAGCTGCTGCTGTTGGTCTGTGAAGGTTTCATCCTCAGTTTTAGCTAGTTGCCATAAGAGGTTCCTTGTAGGTGTTAATGTGCGTTGTTGATGGGGTTCACCAGCATCATGTGGTGGTGACTGAGGTCTTGATGTAGTAGTCATGGAGTATATGATGCTGTAAACATAAAGCAGGTGATATAATGACGCAACAATATAGAGGATAATATCATAGAGCATGCATAGCAAGAGCTGTTAGCCAGCAATAAGGCTGTTGGCATTGTCTCCTATGGCATGCCTGATGATGGAGGACTGCTGGAAGGAGGGTATGTTTTAGGTACTGTGTAATATCTCTCAATTCCAACTAGTCCATTTAATGTAGCTTCATTAAAACCAAAGATGCCACCACCACTATGGCATCCACATCCCCCTCCACCAGTAGGTATTACAAACACGGCTGGGCCTGTGTTAGAGTAGTGTAGACAACTAACATCATCAGCTGACTACCCTCATGACCATTATCATGATGATGATGACGATGATGATGTCGACGATGCCGCCGATGCCGGAATCGAAAGAATGCTGTGGTCTCATCGTGACCAGAGGGATCGTGATGATCATCATGATGATGTAACATTTTCAATCAATTCAAGGTCACCGACGGTTATGCGCTGGTGTAAACCGCGTAATAAAATCCGTAATCGTGTATACTTGACTCACTTCTCGCAGCGATTATGTCAACGGTTAATTCATTGTTGTTTCAAGTAGCTGCTGTTATCAATAGTAGTATGCCAACTACTGTAGTAACACCTTCCGTGGCGACATCATCAACACCCTCATCTGGTGGAGGTATTAGGAGTAATACTACTACTGGTGCTGCTCCACCACGGGTACCACCAAGTCGAACACAGCCTGATATGAATAGGGAGAGGATGATGTTTATGTGGTTATCATTAGTTGGCAAGACTGTTGAAGTTAAGATGCGAAATCAGACTATTTATGAAGGGATATTATCGGGGGTGAAGCCAGAGAAGGATTTTGATATAGCTCTTAAGTATGCAAGAGAACTCCCAACAGGGAATAAGTTATCTGGACCTATCTATGAGGAAATGCTAGTACCTGGGAAAGAGGTGGCTTCATTGACAGCTCATGATGTGCCTGTAGCTGGCATAGATAAGGATAAGGTAAGCTTAATAAGGGCTATCAATATGAAGAACCTATTAGGGACCACATTTGAGTGGCTTTAAGACGGATTCAGAGATCCTACCCAGGAGCAGTCTAGCAGGCAAGGAGAGGGTATTACAACGATGGGACAGCAAAACTGATGATGCGTAAGTAACA